ATACAAGTCAATGATGGATTAGCATTTGGAAAGGGAGAAAAAAATTAAAATAGGTGTTTTTAATACAATATTTTATGTAATATTTTATCTGTTATGTACATTGTGAAATTTTGTGATTTTAATGATTTTATCATCAAGATCACTTTCCATGTCATGGACTGTGATAAATTTTAAATATGCATTGATATTTCCTTAATATGCATTATATTCTAACAAGGTATCCGTAGTAAACTGTCCTGACAGAACTGTCCACTTTTATTCCTCATGTGTACTTCTGTTTCAACAGCACCTTTCGATGCTGTTCATTTTCCCCCAAAAAATTATGAAACGGTGTAACAATGCTATCCAGATATGCATACAGAATCAATAATGAATATTTGATTCATAGTAGCTAAAATGTAATTTTGGGTGTAATTCAGTTCCCTCCACTTTTGGTTATATCACATGGTTATATGGTCACACTAAATGATACGAGACTGTATGATGTTCAGTAATTGGTCAAAAAACCTATAGATTTACAAAACACATACAATTCAACAAAAATTTGATTATCAGTAAGATCCAAACAGATTTACAGAAGAAACATTTTTTAGACAGTGCAGTAGTTAGCACTGTTGCCTCACACCTCTGGGGCCAGGGTTTGAGTCTCCGCCATGGCTTAGTGTGGGGGGTTTGCATGTTCTCCCCGTGTCATCATGCGGTTTCCTCTGCTTTCCCCCCACTGTCCAAAAAGGTGTTTGTTTTCCAGATTTGAAAGATACTCACTGACCATCTGTATGCCTCCAGGGATCGGCACCATGTTGTTCTGCAATGTTACTTCCAGCTCCTGAATGTTTTTCAAAATTAAATTCCCAAAATAGGCTTTTCTGGATAGTTGCACCAAATGGTTTTTCATAAAATGAACATCTTCAAACAAAATTAAACATTAAACCAAAAGCTAGGAATACATAAACAACACTACAAGCACTGGGAGATACTGGGAACATAGGCAAAACAGAACATAATAAAACTAGATACAAGCAGGGTAAACTGGAGCAAAGGTATCAGCAAAGACTGAAACTAAAATACATGAATACAAGGACATAACTAAGGGAAACAGAATCAAAGGCACCAAAACATATAAGAAACATCACGGAGGAATTGCTTTGTTCAGAGCCACCTCATTAGCCACACGTCGGTCCAGGGAACAGGAAAACACATTACGAGCTAAAACCAAGGGACACTACAGGAACACAGAACAGGATGGGCAGCGACACCAGCTGGCCAAACAGGAATATGACAGACAAGGCCAAAAAGGATGTGGACAACAGCCCACATTCACTGTGGTACTGTGCATGGTGTTTTGGTATGTTGGTCATGTCATGGCGTGTGCAAAGGGAGGTACAGGCCCAAGTGTGGCACAGCGGCAGCAACTACGGTGACAGTCTGGTTTCAGGGGTTCTCTTGAACAACAAAATAAAACTAAAGACTTGCTAGCACAGAATTAAAAAAAAAAATACTTAAAGAAAAAAATCACAAAGCAAACAAAAAAAATTGGACACTATTACAGATTTGCCCTCACTTTCCCATAAACATAAAAAAAAGTTGGCGATTCTTCTCCCTTCAGACAAAAAAGAGGGCTTGGTTTTGCATGCTACAAATTTACAATGGTCACAAATTAAACTTTTCACTGTACAAAAGAAGGCTAAATACAAAAATAAATTATAACAATTCTACAGGTGAATTCCAATTTCTTTCCACCAGTTATCACACCAGGAAATTCTTATGGTTAAATCACATCAAAAACACTATTAAGATGTGTAGTCAATATGCGGTTTATCCGTCAATCAATTATTGAAGTTTATCCGTGTGCTTGAAGGAAAGTCACACACATTCAGTGACCAATTTATTAGGTACACTTGCTGGTTCATGCAAACAGCCTACTCCTCCAAACAGTCAAATAATGTCGCTCAAAGTAAATACATACAGCAGAAAAAAAGATTTGGTTATCGTTTGGCTAAGCATTAGAATAACTAAGATGCATGATTTTAGCATCTCAGAAACACCTATCTCGATGTAATTTTCATATGCTAAAGTGTTTACAGAGAATGGTATAATAAGCAAAAAACATCTAATCATCGACAGTTCTGTGGGTGAAAACACCCGTTCAACAACAGCAAGGTCAGAGGAAAATGGCCAAACTCAAAGCTAACAAGAAGGCCACAAGTGCAAAAATGACAGCTCAGTATAACACAGTAATCACGTTTTAGCATTCCAATTAATTCCAAAATAATTACAGTAAATTCCCGTTAAAGTAGACTCGCATATAACGGAATTTCGCTTATAATGGACAAACAATTTGGTCCCCAGGGCCGCTTTTAGCTGTAGTTTTGTTCGGCTATAACGGACATGCAGTTCCGCCTACAAGGCGCTTGGCGGGCCGGCGATATCCAGCGCAGATACGCAGTCGGGATTATTAATAGTCACGCATCTGCTAAGGTAAAGTCGGATTACTACATGTACAATATAATAATCTATACCACAAGTGTGTCTGTTGGGGTGTGGCATGAGTAAATGATGTCCTGTAGTTGTGTTCTGGGCATAGAGCAACTCTGGATATAACGGACTGTTTTACCAGGTCCCTTGAAGTCCGTTATAACTGCATTTCACTGTAAAATAAAAGTGTACGCATATTACAAAGGTGAAACATGAAATGCAATGACTGTAATTGGAAAAAAAATCCGTTAAAATAATATGAACAGGAAGATATTTTTTTATTTTGTTTAGTCACTGTCTACTTTGAAAATTTATTACTAAAATAGCAAAGACAACATACGGTTATTTGTGCAGAACATTTCACACGGATGTGATTTAAAGTATTTTACGGAGATCAAATAATATTATACAGTAATAACGACAGGTGAAATCAACCTGTTCGTGGAACGACATCAGGCTAAGTTTAGAGATGGAGCTAGGTTGAGTCTGACTTTTTCGGGAAAGTCTGCCTTTCTTTAGCTACTTTCATGGAATACCCCCAAGGTCACCTTACATAGCCCATAAAAGACAAACAATAAAAACAAATAATTAAAAAGAGTTATTTACATAATCAGACGACAATTGGGTTATAGCGAACTTAAACAGATGGGTTTTGAGTTTTGACTTAAGCAATGGAAGATGTTTATTGCAGTAATGTGCAAGAAATGGATGAAGGCGACAAACCAGGTGATGAAATCTATTTGCTAAGATTCTGAAATATCTGAATTGCATCTCTTGGTCCAACTCATTTGTCGTATCAGCACAGAAAACTTCAGCTCTCTGTGCCTCATTATGTTCACTAGTTTTACATACCATCGAATGCTGACACAGAATTATAAATTGGTTTAAACGGCATCTACAATGTAGGCTACATGTATAATTATGTTCAGGCATGATGCAGAAAAATCTGCCTTTAAGCCTTCACCCTCAATGAACTCTGTTCCACTTTGTCCATATGAAGGGTGTTTTGTGACAATATTCAATAAATAAATGTCATTTAAATTATTATTTAAATAATTGGTATTTCAATGGTTGTATAAATGGCAGTTTAAATGGTACCAGCAACTTGGTTATGATACCAGGCTAAATGAAGCTTCGTGAACCATTGTCTGTATTTTTTAATTTCATGAACAACGCAACGGTGAAACGCGATTCAAATACATCCCCATCAGCGCCATAAAAGGGGGGGGGGGTGTGGCCAGGTGTCAATGGCTCATTCATACACATAAAAGTCGCTATATATTCAATGAAAGGAGCCAGAAATAGTGACATGAGTTACCTTTTTCTTATTTATTTATCCAACTGAATGTTGCATCTACACCATTTAGTCATCTTCATGTAGCCAAGACTTTGGTGATCAGATATCTGGGATCAAAACAAACTTCCACCATCGCTTACTATGTACTTTTATAATGTTTCTGCATGTGTTCCAAACTGCATTTTGCTAACCTGTTTTTACAACAACAAAAAAAATACATGAAGCATGAGCATTAAGCTGATTTGTTTAATTTCAGTTCAGTGGTTGTATTAAAAATGAATTATTTCTAGTTTATCATAACAAAAACAGGGTGGTATGGTGGTGTTGTGGCTAGTGCGGATACCTCACCCCTCTGGGAACCAGGGCTTCATTCCCCACCCCAGCTCAATGTGTGTTCAGTTCACATGTTCTCCCCATTAATCAAAGTACATCCAGAAGTCATGCCTCATTTATTTCATTGCATGCATAGATGTCTAATTGAATTCCCCTTCCATTTATCAATGTGAGGTTAGTGACACTTTTGTTCTCAGCCCATGTCTGCTGCTGTTACATTTGATATATACCCTCATTCATGGTCAGTCCCTTAAATTCAGTTCAATGCAGGTGTAATGACATTTATATCATCTGTCATTATGTACCCATAGTTTACAGATTACTAACATTTATTACTGGCATTTCAATTCCAACACCGTCTGTCATTCTAATCAACATTATGGCGCCTATGATTAATTTATAAATAATACTTCTGACATAGCCACAACAGAAAGTTTTTGTACCTCTATAAATGTCAAATTGCCTTTTTGTGCCAACCATTTAATGAGGTCAGGGATTCATCTTAATTTTACTTTAACAATGTATTGTCATGACAAAACATGCCTGTACCTATGCTATAATTTTGTTTTGGTTCACTGTAACATGTAATATATAAAAGACCATTTAGCTTCTTGATTTAAAAATGCAATCATATAATAAAGTATAGAGATGCTTTCCTCAGGAAGAAAAAAAATCCAAATTTCATGGAAATGCAATGTGAAGACAGTAAAGGTGTGTTTTTCCTAAACCAAAAATAATGTGTTAAAATACAGAAGAGAAAAGCATAAAAAAAATGAATACTAATGAAAATCATGTATAGGATTTAAAAACGAAAAAGAGCCCCACCTCAGAAAACAGTCATTGTTTAAACTAACAGTGCATATTGTCTATATTGGGAAAAGTACCATAAGACAAGTTAGAGTGCAGTTAACATTTATTTTGACAGCTTTACCACAATGTCCATCTCCACATCATTCTCAGACAAAGAGACAGGCAACAACACAATGAGGACAAACCAATTTTTGGATAAAAATCAAAAATACCTAGCACAAAATGTCCTTTCAGTACAGACAAGACAGGTGTTCAATAAAAAAACAAAATAAAAAAATGATGTAATCTATATGCTAAAACACATCTATCATTTTATTGGATGTGCTGTCAAATGGCACTTAAAACCTGTTAAATTTAGACAGAGTAATGTGTTTCTGATACAGTATGAATTATATTACTATAAAAACCTATAAAAGAAGTCATTGCATTCGATAAAAGCAATGTAATAATATGGAGGGAAAATCTAATAAGCAAGACTGTTGAATTAAATCATTTTCAAATTGTACAAGCCTTCAAGTGTATCATTTGGCACTATGCTACTCAAATTTAAAATGATTATAATAATATTTCCCAAAAGTATATTTGGAAACCATGCAAAAAAACTGCCCACTATGTATAGTGATCCAGTATAAGGTAGTTCAGTCGGTGCATGAATAAACTATGGTCTGTAAACACTGCAAAAAGAAGCATCTTTGGTAACCACCAAGATATAAGAGCACTGGTCACTGATAATATCAGCAGCATATGAATCCAATGGAGTAGTTACTGTAGAACATGACAAATGCAGGTATTGTTTACATTGAACTGTCAAACATTAAAATCGACAATTAGGAAAGTGAAACGGACCCAATTTTTCGGAAAAACATAACTGCATTTGTAAGTAGCAATCAAAAGGCACTATGCATGTCATGTGACTGTATTTGAATATTTACAGAAAAACAAAATGCAGCAGAGTTAAGACAGACTGTAAATCATAGCCCAGTACTCACTGAAGAGACAAGCGTTTAGGTTTCATTCCAGTTTACACTTCACATTCTAAAAGATCCTATAACCTTTCAGCGTTAATTATTTTTAAAAGCAGAAACTGGACAGTGGGTGGGGTGTAAAGCAAGCATAGAGAAATGTGATTTGTGATTTAATGCCCTTTTCAGATACCCAGACCTTAGAGTGGTACTGAAATTAGATGAATATTCCCAGTCAGTAACTAGCATGTTGTTACACGTTCATTGTCTTTTAATAAACACAATGTCAACGCGGATGAAGCAATAACCGTTTGTAAAAAACAACCACATGCATGCTTTGGGCTTCTTGTGTGGGAATTTACTAGGATGCAGTAACAACAATATGGTATAACAGCATAATATAACCCTTAGAGATGAACAATAAAAAAAAACACAAATGTTCAATTTGCAGTTACATCATGTTTTGGGGTACTACTAACCTAACTAAAACAATATTTTTCAGTAATTTTCAATAATAATGTTTTTGCAGGTGATAAGAACATGCAAAACAAAATCATGGTGGGCTTGCAAAAAAAAATTAAGTGATTCTTTTCTAAATGCCTAGATTTGGAACATTCAACAGGACTTGCTTAATACAGTACAGGAAAATAAAGAGAGGGAAAGTATCTAGTATTTGCTGACAAATCCTCCATATTCTTGAAATATGCCAATGGCAGCACAGTGTGGTTTTGCAAGCAACACCACTACTGCAAGACAAATATTTTTTCAAAAATATTTTCACAGTAAAAAGCATTACTGGCTAGGTGATCTACGGCCTCATTGAACAAAAGATACATTTTATAGGAACTGTCCTAGCTAAGCAGCACAAAAGTTTTCCTAGCTTTCCAGCAAATCTGTCTGAACAACATTTCCAAAGGAAGTATATATACACACCAAATAAATAAGGTACTTTTGGAAGCTCTGACAGCTGAACTCAAGGAAGTAATTCTTCCAAAAAGGAGCATTTCAAACTGAAGCCTTACTATCTGTCTGTTTTGACAGAGAAGACAGACACTCTTTTATAAGAGCCAGGACTACAGAAGCCAGAATTTGCTTTGAACATTTTGTATTTTTATATTGAGAAACATTCCAAATCTGGGGTTAAATATAAAATTTGACCATGGTATCAATATCTATTATATACAAAACAATATTAACAACAGTGAAAGGCTGCCTTGTGAGGTTGGACTATAAAATCTATAGCTTCCAGACTGATGTTCATCTTCTCAAGCACAAAATAATCTCAACGTCTAAGTTTGTATATTAAACCATACGGTACATTTAAAATTTACATGTTGTGTTGGTAGCATTCCTACTAAAAAACTGAGTTACAAAAGGGTCAAGTCATAAATTAATGCATTTAAAACAAAGTTAATTTGTGAAAAATTAAGTGTCTTTGGCGGCAATGGATACAAAAAACAACAAAAAATTTTAAATCCTCAGAATGTCAGAAGCTTTATAGCATTTCATGTTATTAAATCTGATTTACGGGCGCTAAACCCAGCAGACAATCCCACATCAAGAGCTTGTCTGCATTTATAAGTAACATCTCTTGGTTACTTGTGGATGGTTTGAATTGTGAATTATTGCCCCTCAAGAAATGAGACTTACTCCTGTTAATCGAAATATAATCAACACTCAGACAGAAATTCTCTGCAGCAAACTCTAACGTTGGCAGAGACTGAAGTGTTATCCTCTGATTGCAAGGGCTTATAAAACGGCCACGTTGACTTCTCTGCACTGTATAACACAGGGCTGCAGAGCCCTTTATCAAGTAGCAGGGGGTTTGAAACCGGTGTTTGGGTTTTCCGGTTTTGAGAATGACCTGCTGGCTGAACCTCTAACCTATCATTAGGACCACATGTTAGCTTAGGTTTTTCTTGTTGAGCGAGAGTAGCGGTCTGCACCTGTTCAGCTCCCTCTCCATCTGTTAAGGGGCCCATAAAGGTCCCCGCAGTCTCTGGTTGCCATGACGTTGTTACATTGTCATCATTGTTCTTCAGCTCACAGCTGGCAGAGTTCCCATCCCTTTTATCATGCAGGGAAAACGCCTTCTTAAAATTCATCTCATTTCGAGAAAAGGGATTCAATGACAGGCTGACCCTTGATTGTACAAGGTACATGTCACTCATCTCAAACTCCAAACTATCGGTGTCTAGGGACCTGCTTCTCCTGTTTAAGGTAAGTGGGGCTGAAACAGACTGATTGACTTTTGTAAGGCTAAGATGCCGAGGGAGACTAGCGACTCCCCATCTATTATTGAGAAACAAACTTTGTTCATTGAAGTCAAACTGTCGCGCTTCACATTCAACAAAATCCTTCTGCAGGTATGACTCATTATAATCTTCAAATGGTGAAGCAACGTCCTCATCAGCTGCCATCTCTACCTGATCATCATATTCCCCCTCATTCTCCATATCTACGATGTCAAATGTGACCATGGACGGAAGCACCTGCATGTTCTGGGCAAAAGGAGAAGTGGATTCGGAACTAGTCAGATTTCCAGAAAGATCATTGAAAAGCTGGGTGTGTTTTGTGAAATCCACCAGTGCTTGGGAAAAACAAATCGTCTGGTCATGCTCAGCTTCAGCGTTCATTTTGGTGGAGGGAATACTTTCATTTTTCTCTGTCGGCGAAGGTCTTCGGGTGCCTTTATCGATATACAATTCAGAAGCCTGTATCTGATTTGGTGTATGTAAACCATGGGTGCAAATTGTATCCGTTTCCAAAAGAGATAGTGACTTGTCATATACCTCAATCTTGGTAGTGTTTTTTAGGCTTTGTGATCCCTGACGCAGACTTTTCTCCATTGAATTTGATATATGCAAAGTACTTTGCTCTTCCTTAAGGCAAGAATAATGCTGTCGATCCAACATACATTCAGTGGGTTTGTCACTGGGGAAAAACCTGCCCCTTCCCAACACAGTGTGTTCTGGAAGTGGTTTCTGTATACTTTGCAGTTTAGAGTTCAGGAGCTCATGCTGAATTTTAGCCAATCTGGTATTTTCTGATCCAGCAAGACCAATGTTAGGTGCAAAGCTCGTATGCAAATTTGTGTCAATGCAGTTCAATGTTATGTCTAAAAATTCCAAACGATCTGGGGTTGATTTCTGTATCTCAAAGGAAGAACCCTCCTTTAGAGTGGGGCTCATAAGGCTGTCATCTGGCTCAAAGAGTTCATAAAGAGCATCGCCACTATAACTATCTCTTGGTAGCCTGTCACCTCCAATTCTGCCAACTTCATCAACCCCATCATCATCAGCTCCTGGTGTGGTAGAATCATAATAACCTTCATCACTGTTGGGGACTGATTCCTGATGCTCACTTTGAGGAGTTAAAACATCTCCAGGCGTGATGGCAGTATCTGAGACATGAGAAAAGGTGGTACCACTGTCATCATCTATATGGGGAGAAAGAATGTCTGATGCTTCAGAGGTTATTTCAGGATTTTTATCAGGTTCCATAAAATCACTCTGTTGCCTGGGAGCATAATCAGTATCTGCTGCAGCTTCACTTTCCCACAAGCCCTGAAGATACTTTCTGTCAACTTCATCAGGTGTAGCCATTTCTTCCCCTCCACCCTGATATGTAACATAGCATGAACTCCTTTTCCCAGCATTACGAGCCCTTTCTCCAGAAACACTGCTTTCAGCAACGCTGTCGTCATCTTGGTCAGCAATAATGTCTCCACATCCAGTGAGGGAGTCGAAGCTTTTCAGCGAGGACACATCACCAAATATCAGGCTGATCTGCTCAGATGAGTGAACAGAAGGTTGGATATTCTCTGTGCAGTTTGAGTTGATGTCCGAAAGGTGCGTAATGGAGTTGGCACAGTGGTGCTCTACAGTCGTATTCATGACTTCTGCATGTTCTATCCCACCATTGTCTCCATCTCTAAATATCTGAGTTTTCAATGACTTCAGACTCTCTCGGTCAGACTTGGAGACATCTTTTTCAGTTATCATTCCCTCTTTTTCACATTCATGAGCAATAAATAACTCCTCTTTAACATTTACTGAAGCAGGCACATTCAATTCTTCCAAATTACCCAGAGGTTCTATATCATGTCGATCAATGCTGTGCTTAACATGCACCACATCTTTAGGGATGTCTAAATCAGTCTTTTCCATTTTAACATGTTTATTCTTTTTATGACGTCTGATGCTGCTGAATAGCCCTTTAAATCCCTTCTTTGGACGTGGGAAAGACAAAGATTTCTCCAAACTAGGTTTACGGTCACCATTCTCCAAATAAGATTCCCCTTTAGTAATTTCCACCCCATCATTGCCACTCATAACATTTGCACTATGAGAACTGGGCAGGGTCTTTTCAGTAGAGCCATTTTGATTGTGGTACTCAAAGTCTCCTGCTGGGACATCTCCCTCTCTTTTGGCATCTTCCCAGCTAACCTTGCTAATGCAATCATGGGTTTTGCTCTTAATGATGCCCTTCTTGGAGGATCCCTTGCTATGACTCTTGTTTCTCCCTCCGAAGAAGCTGGGCAAGGCACAGATGCTCCTCCGGCCACCAAAGAGTTTAAAAGCAGTTTTCTTCAGCTTTCCAGAAGGCTGTAACTCAGACGGGGCCGCACCTGCACGCTCAGATGGTGTCTCTGCCTCAGGCTGCAGGCCCTCGCTCCCCCTGGCTGTCTGCTCACAGACATCAGACAAAGGCTTTGTTTCCCTTGTCAACTCATTTCCTCGACTGGGCTCCATGGCAACCGTGTCTATTGAAGGATGCGCTCAGCTATGAACATTGCTGAAAACACTTGTCAGGTTCTTCTTCGACATGGTGCAGTGCCGTGCTTTTCTAAAATTCACAAGGGTCAACAATTAGGCTGTGAATGGAAAAAAATATATATATTAATTGCTAGTGGGTCTTAAAACACACACACATTCCCACCATCTCTGTATATTTACAAGCAAACAACACTACCAGATGATACATAGGACTAGCAAGCTGCTTTGATGAATAACATCAAACCCAATTCAAAGCAGAGATGTGGCATACAAATGCATTAATCACCGACTAATACAGACATGCCTCTGGGGGGGATTAATCACCTCAGGCATGACCTTGATAGGCTCCCATAAAAAAGAGCAATCTGTGAAAATTACTTAATGACATTACTTGCACCTATTTGGTGAATGTTATGCAACCCCAAAAGGTTGCCTCATTTTATTGTTTTATTTACATCTTCTAGTATTCACTACAATAGATAAGACACCACGTTTCCCAGACCATTTTCTAGTAATTCAGTATTATGACGAGAAACACATGCAATTGATATGCAGGCTCAGACTGCTCAGGAACAGAAAAGTAACTGGACCAGTACATCTGGCAACATACTACAAGGTTGAAAATGAGGAAAAGTAGGATTATTTTCAACTACAAAGACTGGATGCTTTAAAGTTTTCTAAATATACTGAGCATAACACAACTCAATCAATTCTCTGATTACACAAATATAAAAATGTACCTTGTCTATTAAAAGCAGTACGTAATTGAGTAAATAATCTTTTGGAAGCAGCATAGAAATCAAAAACGAACACCTTGAAAGCACAAGGCCTTTACCAAACTTTCACTTTCCATTTACACTGTTAGAACATGAATATTTTATTTAATATTATACTAAGACAGGGAAAAATATTGTTGCTGGCCTAAATTTAGATTAAAATTTTTAAATTGCACCGCAATCAAAGTTGGCCCCAAGAGCAAGATTTCTCTAAATGAAATTTTCAACAAAAAAAAAAAAAACGAATAAACTGCTAGCATTTTAAATACTTTAATTTATCATGGGAAATCGACCTGCTATCAAGTTAATGTTAAGGTATAACAAAACGGGATATGAAACCATCTATTGGTTGTAACTAGAACAACGGACATTTACGCCAGACAAAACCCAACATTAAAAGAAGCGGCTACGCCAATAAATACATTACTTGCCTCCACTATGATTTCATCTATATTACATGAACTTTAGCGTGACAATCTAAAGTCAGCCTCAACAAATCTGAGCCCAAGAGAACTGTAGCTTGGCCTACTTGTTATCATTTATTCAAAATGGGAATGGAATTTTTTGGAAATGCTCAACAATGTAACCGACATGCGGTTCCGTCATTCTACATAAACCGCTGCGAACAAAATAAATTACTACATCTGTTTGTCTTCTGCCATTAATCACGGAACTATTCCGCGAACTAACGAACTTAAGATTACATTTACAAAGGTAACTAGTTACATTGTAGAGAGAACTTCTTGTGTTAATTCAGTAAGCGGTCGCTTAGAAAACGGGTTGATATTTCAGAATGCAAAAATCGCCCCACCTTATTGTTCAAATTCCGTGGCTACAATCAGCATGACCTGTAAAAAAAAAAAAACACACATAGGATAATATAAATCCTGTTTACTGTATTCGACGCACATTGATCGTACTTGAAGAGCCTCCTGTTGGAGTAATTCAATGTCTAGCCAGCTACATACTGGTATTTCTAGTACAAACAAAGGCGGGATCGCACGCTAAGAACAGGTTGATAGAAGTTTTTGTCAACCAATAAGAAATTAGAACGTAGGCTGCTGACCAGCGCGTTCTGGAGGAAGGGGGAGTTGGTATATAATAATAGAAAAATTGCTTTTCACATTAACGGATAAGAGTATGCTCCATCTATTATGCCTTAGTGTTTATATGCCACTGTTTATTATAAAATCTCCTTAATAAACGGTGCTATAGCTGTTACATTGTAAAATTTGCGTCATTTAATTGCAGATAAATTTCGTTTAGGAATCGCGCTGGTTACGTATTTCCGGGTTCCCGGTTAAAGTTTCCGACGTGGTGAAGGTGTCGATGTAGCACAAAATTAAAGTTTCGGGCATGTTAACGGCGATTGTTATGAATATTATTTCTCGCTGCCAGATGATTTGCGTAGTGTGGATAAAAGAGCGCTGTTTAAATTTTAGCTACCGATGCTCAAATTTCACATTTTTTGGCATAATATTTTTTTTTCATTTATTCATACAGATAGTAAACAGATAACATTCACTCCGACCTTGATCAGGATCAGCGCTCGGGAAATGGATAGATGGTTGAACATATGAACGTGGTTCGTAGCTCCTTATGAATATGCAAGTGCATTTGGGAAGCACATGGTACGAGGTGCGGAGCCGAGCACCATGATGGGGTGCCATTCAATTCCAAATTGAGGCCTGCTTACAGTTATTTTGAATGGTCTCGCATTGGAATATATCCAGATAATAAAATGTATTTATAAAATTCAGGTAATGGATTTAACACAATCAAATAGATGAATTTAGCCTGTAATGTTATAAAACGATCAGTACAATGTAACAGGTGGCTTTACTGATCATTTTCTGTGGCATCCTCCACATATACAGCAAACACACTTATTTGCTAAATTTGAGATGCTGACCTTGGTGTAGTTTTTTTCGTAGTTTATCAGTCTCGATCAGATTAAATGCAATATAACCGTACAATTTGAGATGCCTATTTAAATTCTCAAGACTGGCCAGGAGAAAATTTCTTATAGTTCTGTTTATTTGTTAGCATAATACTCAATCCGGTAGCATGGTGATTCCAGTGCTGGGGGTTCGGATCACACCCCTGCTGTGTGATGGGAGTTTGCACGCCCTCTCTGTGTTGTGCAGTTTAGGTTAATTACGTGCATGAGTGAATGTGCCTTGCGATGGAACAAAATCCCATCTACAGTAGGATGTATCACAGTCTTGGGCTTTATATGCTCAGTCCACCCCCTACCCACACAGACACACACAGCCCTACCATAAATACTTGTAAGAAGGATGGACAATATTAATTATAGAAATGTCTTAAGAGAGCAAGATATTCATCAGTTTCAGTTGTGTTTTATCAGACTCTCCAAGGAGTAGGCCCCAGAAGTGGTATTCATAAACTTTGAAACCATAGGGGTTAGTTAAAATGCAAAATACATTCCTATTTTTATTCATTTCACAGGGTGGGCTAGCATTACTTTTGATTGTAACAATGTATCCTGACAAAATGAAGTTATGTAGAAGGACAGAAGACATCTACATGTTACAATCTAGCATGTTTTGCAGAAGTGGACCTTATCATTTATTATTATTACTTCTATTTTCAATTTATAAGCCTCATGTAAGCAGACAGGAGTGACATTTATTATTACCTGTCAACTGCACCATCTACTGCAACAGAATTTCAACAGAATCCACCTTACAGTATATGCATATAATGAAGAGAAATTGAGGCCAGACTCAGATCACATTGATACTGCTTCACTATCAATAAAGAGAAGGTATTTGTAAAAAAAAAAAAAAATGACTCATGTGGAAGGTAACAATGGAAGACAATGCTGACTCTGCGCCTAACAAACACCACTCATCTCTGATAGTCTCAATCAGGTATAATTTGTAGTCAACTGGGAAAAAATCTATTTACTTTAATCACCACCTTCAAGATTGACTTGCTGCAAGTGCCTTTAGCCCCAGAAATGCAACAAAACATCCCTATACATAAACACCCATTTCTTTCAAATTGATAATTTAAGGTAACAATGTATCCAAAATGTTCCTTAGTCCACAAAACTTTGGATGAAATACCAATATATAGCATATTTTTTCAGACCTGTTTATACAGATTTTTATATAGATCTACTAGTGTGTGTGTGTGTATGTAGACACACAACATAATTTAAATATAGTAGTATTTCAAGTACATAAAGGCATAAGAAATGGAAAATGTATTCTAATTTCCCAACCACTTTCCCTGATCAGGGTCACGGGGCCTGGAACCTATTCCAGTCAGCACAGGGTTAAACACTGATGTCCACCCTGCATGGCAAGTCCATCACAGGGTTCATATACAAACACACTCACACAACATGCACAACTTAAAAACAGCTATTAGCCTACTAGCATGCCTTTCAACTGTAAGAGGAAACCTGGGAAAGGAGGAGAGGACATGCAAACCCCCCCCCAAAAGCCTAAGTTGGGCTCAAATTCCCAACTGTAGAGGGTCGAGGCAACAGTGACACAATGCTGCCCATGTTCTAAGGCCAATAAACTTGGCTGTTATCTGAGTTTCCTAAAGTGTGTGTGTGTACATCCTGTCCAGATTGCTCCCCTGCCTCTGCCACAACCTTGTCCAGGATGAGGCTGGATGACAGATGGATGGAACCAAAAAGCAGATGTACACCCTCTTTCCAACATTAAATATGTGCATTGTCAACCTTTTACAAGTAATACCTTTATTGTATTATGTACAAGGCACAGTCTGCTATATCAGCAATAACATTAATCAAAATGTTACACTTCTTGTTGGCATTTCCCTATACTTTAAAAAGTTCATTAGAATTGGTGGCATATCCAGGCAGTCAATGCGATCCATCCTGTTGATCTTCCTCAAGTAAGCTCGTATAGCAATTCTGCACTGTGACATCAGGGATTTTGGACAGCCTAGAAGAAGCACACAATTCGATCAATCAATAATTAAATATACTTTGATAAATCACACTCCACAGAATTATTGTTGAGCTCTTAAGTAAACTTGTATATAGCCCATAGCATAAACTGGCACATCCATAACTTAAGTGCAAAAAAATAACAGGCTAGTTTTCTAAGTCATATATAAAAATGCTGTCACCTCTTTCCTTCAATAAGAGTTCCACGGCTTCATTCTGCTTTGTAGTTTTCTCTATGATGAGAGTGGGAATGTACACATTTGCTCCAAAGTCTATCAAGAGCTTAATGTACTCAACCCCACAACCATGTCTGAGACACATCTCAAGAACTGTCTTGGGCTGTTTGATCCTTCTGAAGAGCTTCTCGTCTGTGCAGTTGTAATCAGGATCAGCCCCATGTAGAAGCAGAATCTTGAAACAATCCAAATGTCCATAAACTGCAGACAGATAGAGAGGCCCACTTGAGATGGATGCATTGGAATCCCATAGTACAACTTTAGATCTTGCATTTACTTCAGCGCCATGCTGCAGAAGCACCTTCAAGATTTCTACATCTCCCTCTCTGGCAGCTGTCAGTACTGGGGAGCAGTTGTTGTTAATACTGCCATTTGGGTTGGCTCCTGCCTTTAGGAGGGTTAAGACACAGCTGAGGTATTTCCCCCTAACAGCAGTAAACAGAGGGGTCTGAGCCTTTACATCCAAGCTGTCCAGTTCTGCTCCATTGGCCAGCAGAACCTCTAAGCACCTAAGGTGACCTCGGGATGCCGCCATTCGGAGAGGTGTGCCCGGAATTCCCCAACCACTTCTTTTGTTGATGACTTTCTTAAATCGCTCTTGGGAAAGAAGCTCAGCAAGAAGAATGTCATCATCATCGGATACAGCCTGGATAAGCTGGTGGCTTTCTTTGCTGTCCTCTCTGTCCTCAGGGTTTAGGTATAGCATGAAAAACCCTGAAAGGAAATCAACAGTTTATGTATTATTATAAAGCTTATAGAATTTTGGCTGTATGTATGCTGGGTGTGTAGATCAGTGGACTGGGCATCCATTCCTATATCCAGAAGGTTGTGACTCCAAATCTTATGAACGGTGTAATATCACCTGTTACCTAGGGCTGGGTGATATCATATGAATATTATATCATGCATGCGCAATAATCAGCAAGGCTTCACATGATGGGCAAAACATTTGGCTGGACTCCAGTTTTTGGTACTATTTGGATGTTTATTTATGCCCAAAATTTGGTAAGCAGATTATTATATGCCTAAAATATTAATGAGGCATTTTAAACGCCCAAAAGGTAGTAATCAGTCCTACTGTCACCTCAGTTACTCAAGAGCTGCTGGTTGACACTGCTCTCTCATCATCACTGGTATGCCAGATCCAAATCAAATCAAACAATCACTTATCGTCACATGACTAGAACGACTGTACTAGTGAGTGAAAGTCTTCAGTCCAGAGTTCCCCCTCATCAGTGCGGTACACCAAATAAATTCAACATGTACGCAGAACAATAACTGTACAATAACATACACTATGCATATGCACAGAATACAGTTTGAAACAGACACTTATACAGACTATATCACTTGGAACAAAAGCATTTGATAAATACCTAAATGTAAAATTGTTTATGCCAGTACTTAACATTTTATATTGCATTGTCAACTGTTGTCATGTGCTAGTCTCAGTGATGTGGCAATAAATTAATATGATCTATACATAAATACACCTGTTGTTTTGACCAACTTAAAACATCTAATGATGTGAAATGATCTTCAATTGAAGAGAATATAGATAAATCTTCGAAAAAAAGAAAGTTTCAGACCAATCATAACTGAATGTCTAACGCAAAAAAAAAAACATTTTCTCTGTATGGATTTTGGCATTTTTGGTATTGAGTTTCAGCCAGTTGCGTGAAACAAAAACTGAAATAAATTCATTAGGCATTCTTAATCACAGACACTCCAAAAGACGAGGTGGATTGTGGAATAGATTTCCCATATTAGTATCTGGTGTGACCACTATTTATTTACAG